TCTCTCTCTCTCTCTCTCTCTCTCTCTCTCTCTCTCTCTCTCTCTCTCTCTCTCTCTCTCTCTCTCTCTCTCTCTCTCTCTCTCTCTCCCCACTCGAATGTTTCCCATTCTTCCTTCTCCGTTGCCTCCCTTCCGCGAATTCGATTCCATCTTACGACTTGTGCTCTCCATCCCCCGTCGTGATCCTTCCCCCAGAAATCCGCTTTTCCCTATCCTCTTCTCTCCTTGTCCTGTGTCTGTCGCCTCTCTGCTCCCGTCTTTCTCCACTCCTTTTTCTCCCCGTTAGGATCCTCTTTGAGGTCCTGCTCCGCCAATACTCGATGTGGCCTCTGTGGTTCTGGTATGTCCTTTCCTCTTTTCCTCTGTCTGTTGCTCTTTCTCTTTTCACTGCTCTGTCTACATCACCTGCATATCGACATACCCTATCCCTTTCGTGATTGAGCCTTTGTCATTATCCTGCTCTCTCCTTTCCTTACCTGTTCCCTCCCCTCCGCCCTGAGATCCTCTTCCTGCCTTGCAATATCTTCTTCCCCACCTTGTCCAGATCCCCTTACACGATCTGCATTCCTTACCCTGTTGCCTTGGCCTTCTTTCCCCTGCACTTCATTGGTTCCTACATCCTCGCCCTGAGTGGCTGACATGTCGACCTCCTCCTCTTGATCCCACATCCTGATTGGCCCCCTCCCAATCTGTGCTGCCTATCCCCTTCTCCGCAAATTGGGTCTACGACCCACATCCTCCTCCCGTTTACTTTAGGACCCTCCTCACATTTACTTCAGGAGCCTCCTCGATGTCTTCCTCTTCCACAACCGCCTTCATGCCGTCAAACTTACCGTGCATGCTTAAACCTATCGCGATGACTCTCTGTCTGCTTGCTCTGTTGTTGCATCCCATCCTGACCGACCAAATCCACTCTCTTATCCTCTTGACCCTGCATCCTTACCCTTACCCTCCCCCTTCGCCCTTCTCCTGCTACTCAATGGTGACCTTCTCCTGCCTGCACGACCAGGCACTTTACCTCGCCGTAGTGTTCCTTCTCCCCCTGCCTCTCTGCATGCACGATATGATCCCCGCCTACTTCCGATAGCAGCCGTGCAAAAATCTAGTCCCACTTGCAACATGGTACCCCCAGACAAGGAGTTGCAGTCCTAAACGTGGATGGTGGGAGGAGAGGAGGACGCAGGGAGGGATGGGAAGAGAGAGAGTGGATGCACTTCGCATACGCCAGGGGAACCCAGCTATTTGGTTTTGGGCCCGAGTGTGAACGGAACCCTCCACCTGTTCATGCACAACACTGCTAAGAGCGAGAGGGAGGGCGGGAGGGAGCACTTCGCTAAGCCGTGGGCACTCACCTGCTTCCTCTTTGGGCCGGGAGTGAATGGAACGCTCCACATCTTCAGGCACACACAGAGAGAGAG